TATCTGTTCAATTAATTTTCTGAGAGGTTCAGAGATGTCCAGATCCTTAAGCGCACTCAGTATAGCCCTAGGCTGGATATTATTGAAGGCTCCTTCTATATCAAAGAAGGCAAATAGAGCGTATTCTTTAACTTCCAGAGATTTTTCAATCTCCGCCACCACAGAGCTTAGTGATGTTTCTGTGGATTTTCGTTTGGAATACGCATGCTGCGAACCAGCCTACTTTTCTGGTTTCAGTTTGTTTCTTATATGTAATTCTATTAGTCTTTCCAGAATTTTAGAAGGAATGAGGAGAGGCTAATTGGCCTGAAGTCCTTTGGACTTGTATGCGAGCTTTTGCCTACCTTTGGTATGTATATTACCTTGACTTCCCTCCAAAGCGAAGGGATGTAGTTTAATTGCGGCGCCCCTTAGAATTGCAATTAGCCAATTCAATATGTAATTCTGCGACTACTGCAATTGAGCCGGGATAGACCGTCTGATCCCAGCGACTTGAAGGGCTTAAAGCTGTTTATTGCCCAGCGTACGTTGCTTTCTGACACTATGTTTATAAGAGTGGGTCCATTTCTGCTCCATTGTCTTGAGTATATTCCGCAGTATGGCTTTCAGAGCTGTCTGGGAAGTGGGTATCCATTAGTAGCCCCAAGGACTCTTCACTGGATACCATCCAACTTCGGTCTGGCTTCTGAAGATAACCGATACTATGCACCGATTGTGCCATTTTTTCTAAGTCGAGACGCTTCCGCCGTGTTCTCGATATCATTGCAAAACGATTTACATGAATTTCTTTTTGCTCTCCTAACTTCCTTTTGTATGACTTAAGGTGGTTGTAATAATAATCCCAGTCTGACTCACCTTGGGATTGCTTAGCTAAATTGAACTGCTTTCTGCATTCTTTCTGTAGCTTTTTAAGTTCTAGAGACCACCAGGGGGCCTTATTCTACCCTGCTTCGTGTTATTGGATAAGGCACTTCTAATGCTAGGGCACGATTCCGTGAGTCGATTAACGAGGATATCTAGATCCTCCTTGCTATTGGGCTGAAACGGTAGAATCATAGAGATACGTTTTTCCAGCTCTTGCATGTGCACCTGCCAGTTCGTTTTCCTATGATTCCTAAAGTTAATGGCTCTATCGGCCCTTTCCTCTATTGTAGGTCTGTGGGTTATTATATAATATAGGTATTGTGGGTTACCCTGTCAATTAGTTCTTCCGACACAAGTTGATATCCAGCAATCCTTGTCGGTTTCTTGTAATAAAGTTGGCGTGCTTCCATTATTACACACCAGTAACATAGTACCTAGTAGGTAATTAAACAGACACTCACCTTTGTCATTGACATCTGTGCTGCTCCAGATTGTGTGATGCGCATTTGAGCCGCATCCAAGTATCGTCATGCACTTGGATGCCTCGCTATCCCGTACCACTCTCTTTACCATCAGAGGTGGCACCAGCTCTTGCTCGTATGGCATATAGCACGACACCAGCCGGTAACTGCTTGTGCCCGTTTCCCAGCTTACTGCTGCTGTGTCGTTGTTGCTGTAATTATGTAATATAAAAACATTAAGGTTTTTCTTTGCCATTATGCAGGCTCTGGTTTTACGTTCACAGTTAGGAATCAGTAGAAGAAGAACACTCACCTTGCTCCATACTTTCCGCGTTGGTCGAGGACTCCATAGGATCTTCCTCTACTTCGCATATCTCTTTCCCCGATGCCAGATGGTCTGCAGCATCGGCGTCCGACTTGTAAGGCGTTATCCTCACTTTCGTGAATCCGTAATTTATCTCCCCGCCACTTTTCGCCAGCGGTTCGAAGGATTCTTTCGTTAATAACAGCAGAATCTGCATCGTGGCCCTTTTGGTCTCCACGCCAGATTCTGCTACGCTGTCCTCAAATGTCTTGACATACTTCCACCCTTCCGTGGGTAGGCTCGGGTTGCAGGCTCTTATGAGCTGAATAATCTGGTCCGGCTGTGATGGTGTAGCCGGGATCCATACCCTTGCCCTTGGTCTGGGTGGTATGTCCTTTTTGTCCACTGCTACCAATTTTGCCCCGAGGTATACCTCTCCCACCTTGGCTATAGCAGCTTTGTATAGAGCGACCGATCTCTCGTCGTCGCAAGCAATCATTTTGATCTGGCCCTGGTACCAGCCGGCATCTCATTGGGCTCTGGGGATTCTTCCTTCGGGATCTCCCTCATCCAGAACGCCAATGACAATTCGGGTCCGGGCCACTTCTGCGTTACGCCCTTTGTCTTCTGCCTCTTGGCTGACGGCTTTGCCTCTTCAGCTGACCTCTGTTGCTTGGCTGCCTTTACCGGCGGCTCCAGCTTGAAGTTGGGTATGACTGCTCTCGCGCAGTCAATCGATGCTTGGAGCTCCTTCGTTAGCTTCTCTTTCGTTGGCGGCTTTAGCTCTACCAACCTTAGTAAGTATGCGGTGCGTCGTCTCTCCGCATACTTTGCCTTTGCCGGGTCCTGCATGCTAAATGCAGGCCACTCCCTGGCAGATGCACTTCCAGCAGCAGCCCCTTTGGCATCTCCTCCCTCCCCCTGCTTCTCTGCCGTGTTTTGGCTGCAGGTTTGGGTCTGGCTGCCTCCGGCGCTACCACTTTCTGTGGGCTAGCTTTAGCTTCTGCCCCTTTACTAGTGCTTGCCTCTTCTTCTGGACCAAGCTTCGCTCCTGTCCTCTTAATGTTTGTTGTCGAGCTCGCTCCAAACGTTGCTCTTTTTTGGGAGCAACTAACCCCCTCCGCCTTTTTTTCTGGAGATCCGGGCTCTCCGATTTTTGTTTTTAATTTTGTGTTGTGTTTGTTTATTTATGTTCTGGTTCATTGATGGTCCCACGAGTGTGGGGGAAAGTATGTCCGCTTGCGCATAGCCGCCGTTGCGCAAGTAAGGCTATCATATTACGGAGGGCGCCAGGTATCCGTAAGCTCCGTTCGAGACTGGGCTATTTAAGGGCACCCATCCAGGTTGATCCTCGGCACGGGTCGCATGACAACTTGATCCAGCCCTTTATAGTACCACCGACCATGGTAAGGCTCCTTATCTGTATGCTGTGCTATTGAGGAACATCGAACACACAGATAAGAAGTCTGACCTTAGCTAGATTCCTCACGTCTACGGCAGGGGCGGACTGTTCCCAGTTCGTCCCCGCTTATGTCGTGAATCTGTGGTATCTATTACCAGTCGGCACCCTCGGGGAGGGTTCAGTGGGGGATTTTCGCCAACCCTTCATTAATATAAATCCACTTGAAATTTTCATAGTGGTGCTGACAGAACAGCAAACATTACTTTATTTAATGTCTATTTCAAGATTTTTTACCTTAAGTTATTAAATATTTTTAAATAATTAAAAATTCTTACTGTTAGAAAATCTAAATTATTTAGGTATTTTCATTCCCTCTCATTAAGAATTCCATTTTCATTATAGGCCCACCCTAAAACCAAGATCTACAACTTTGATAAATATGATGGATGGTCTAGTTTGGAAAATACTTGGCGGCAAGTTATAGAGTTTCGCAACTTTTTGGAGGTAATTGGAACGAAACATCCCGATGGTATCAACGTAGTAGGCAAGATTTCTACTTTTTTTGTTTCTATGACTAATCTTGTATATTTTTTAATTCAGGATACTCTCAAGGGGGACTTATAGCTCGGGCTGCTATTCAAACTCTTCCTTTTCATAAAATTTATACTTTCATTTCACTTTCAGCACCACAGGCTGGCCAATTTGGAGGTAAAGTTATATAAAAAGTCATTGCGTTTACAGAATAGAAATACTTTCAGCGAATTTTCTGCACCTTGTGTTTCCGGATTTGGCAGCAAATACCGCTTATGAGCTTTTTTATTCCAAAATTGGACAGCACATATCAATAGCGAATTACTGGAATGATCCGTTAGAGCAAGATTTATACCATAAATTTAGCAAATTTTTGCCATTAATAAATAATGAAATTCAAACATATAATTCTAGCCAGTTCAAAAACACTTTACTTCGTTTAAATAAAATGATTTTAATAGGAGGTCCAAATGATGGCGTAATTACCCCTTGGGAATCTAGGTTAGTAAAAATCTATTGCCGATTGTAAAGAAGCGAATAATGTATTAGTGCTTTCTTACAGTCACTTCGGATATTTTAATACAACATTGAATGTAATACCTCTACACAAGCGACCAATATACATTGAAGATGCAATTGGCTTGAAATCTCTCGAAAATAATGGCAAATTAATAGTAGTCATCAAGCCATTTGTCCATCATCTTACATGGCATACGAATCGACGAGTAATACAAGAAGTAATTATTCCATATTTGGATTAAATATTTTAATTTTACATTACAACCCTAATTTTGTACATAAAATCTGTTTACGAAATGCATGGATATTTATTAGTCAGCAGATATGATTTTATCTGGTTCTGTGTAATAGTTTGTGGACGCTATTTTGTTAACTTTTCGCCATCGTCTTTTATTAGATCAGGAAATAGAAAACGTACAGTGTTATTGTTCATGTTGGGGTCTTCAGTTAGTGATTTGAGTTAATTCTCTTCTTTGAACTTACAGAATTTCTTCTATCTTCTAATTGTTTATGAATTCGCTACTCAGTTCGCTTTTTGATATAAATTCTTGTTGCCTTTTCAGTCTCCCAAAATACCAAGTTAGTATACCATCTTTTCATCTCGCCCTTTCCTCTCTGCTTTGACGCATTATCCATGCACTACAATGGCTACACATTCATCTTTAATATAAATGTTTAATTTTGAATGTTCTGAAAGTAACCAAGTTCAGTTTGAAATGCATCAATGAAGTATTTCTCTTTTCTAAAATTCATTGGCATCCCTGAACAAAGCTTGATTGATAATTTTTCAATCGCCTTAAATAAAAAGGGGAGGATAGGTTTTGACTTTCTCACGGATCGTTTGGTCGCAAAGAGTTGCACTGAAGCCACGGCTTGCATATGCGCTCAATAACAACATGATTATATTGCTGGTTTGCTATATTCCAGAAAAATTGAGAGATTGTGAGTATTACTGCTCTGTATTTTGCAGCAGCAAAAGTTGAATACTATATTCGTAGAACTTACCGATCCGAACAGGGTTAGATCGCCGAAAAAACAGCCCTTGGCCGCATAAAACCTTCGTAACCCTCGCGCAACTTCGTTCTGAATATTGTAGCAGGTTAAACTCCTACTTATCCAGAATAGACCCCGACATACCAAACACATGTCCTGCGTGCAATGAGTCTCCGCATGACACTAACCACCTCTTTGCATGCCCAACGAACCGCACTCATCTAACACCCTTTTCCCTATGGTCCCACCTCGTCGAAACAGCTCGTTTTCTGGGCCTCCCGTTAGATGACCTCGACGACAACCAATCTGGAACTTATCACCCAAACGAGGATTAGGTAACCGTTACAACAACAACAACAAATATATTCGTATTAAAATTGTATTTCAATTAGCTTTCTTAAGAACTTTAACAAGAATCTACTACAGAAAATTTCGTTTTAAAATGGTTTATAATATAATATTATGAATTGCACTGTTTATACTCATTAGAAAATAAAAAAATCATTTAAATTTTTTAACTGCAATTCATTTATTTCTAATAATGAAGGCTATTGTCAAAAGCGGCGATTCAGTAATGCCCTTAGCCTCCATACAACTAATATGAGGTTTTCGAACTTTCGGTTAACCGCTTGCTGCATATATCGGCCTTAATAAAGATTTCTTAGAAAATTAAGTGAATGTCTTTTTGTGTGATGTTTCATTAAAGTTTAAACACTAATTGCGTCTGTTTACTACCGTATACCAAATATATATTTATAGTATTATATAAGCATTTACCCATTATATGTCGTCCAAAGTGGTTCTACTTTTTCCTTCATTGTCCAGCTTTTGCAAGATTAAGGTAGTGGAGGAGGTCCAGAATCCCTTCAAATACAGCGATTGGAAACGTGCACATTGCACCTGTGATGCATGCACATGCCAACCTCAGTAGTTTGGTCAACTCTTTCAGAGAAAGTCTTGAGGCCCAAGGTACCGCACTATACGGTACTACTATTGGTCTAATTATCACGGTATATAAGTTAAAAACTTTAATTTTGTTTTTATGAAACAAAATATGTTTTGGGAGCTATGATCCTTTATTGAATTCCGAATAAGAACTAAAGGTTACAATTAATTACACTGAACTCTAAACTTGCGTTTGCGTTTCCCAAAGTTTCGTACTGCACGTGTCGCAATTTCAGCGATTTGGCTGGTGTAATATTGCATTACTTTGTATCATATGATATTATATTAACACACCATATGATATTTTTTGAATGAGTGGCGTGCTAACTAATCCTCCTCTGAAATGAAAACGTCCTCGTTTGAATCTTTCGGTTTTCTGAAAATTTGGTTTAGTCAATCGATTGCCGGTTGCGATAATTCGATGGATTGAATTTTTGTGAGTTTGTTTATAAGGTATTTTCGGAAAATTAAGGCCATCACTATTAGGATAGTAAATAAGGTGATGCTGGTTTCGTGCTTTATCCTGTTTTCTGTTTCTATTGAACTTACTTCTTTTGTGTTATTGAAGTTAATCTGCTTCGGCATCTATAGCGAGAGGATTTCTTCGATTGTTTGGTGCGGATGAAAGTTTTAAAATTGCCGGTAACGGTTTACTTAATGTTCTTTCCTCGTAGAAGAATGGTTTTCCGTTGATTTGAATAGTTGCATTAGCGTACAGGATTATAAATGTGCCGTTTAATGTTTCAAATTCGTTATTGATCAAAACTTCACCATTGAATTTATTTAGAAATAGTATTCCTGGTCCCATTTCCTTTAGGGTTGGAATATGTTTATTGTTGACCTCCGCGCAGTTTGGCAAACGACTTTTTAGAAGATTATTGATACATGAATCATTACTTAAATCTACAACATTATTGCTTAAACATTTTCGCAAGGAGTTATATTCTTTTTAAATAATTTTTTTTTCCATTGTTTGTCTTTTCGCAATATAGAATTGTATTAAAATTTAATTTATTAATTCTTCCATTATTTTTTACAGCTCTAATGTCTATTGTTTTACAAATTTGGTTATTCACGGTTGGAAAGCTTACAATATAAATTTTAATTTTGCCATTATTTGCAATTTTTATTTCAGAAAATTCGAGAGTTTAATCTAAATTTATATATGGAATATCATCTTTGTCTATTATTTTTCTAGCAATATCTATTTCTTCATTCGACAAGATAAATGCATTTATTATATTAGCTCTGCCCAATTTGATCATTTTCAAATTGTATTTTGACTGTAAGAATGAATCTATTTCTATATATTTGTCATTTTGTATACTTTTAATTATATTATTTGTAATATTTGTTATTTCACTAATTTTATCTATTTTGAGTTTATTAATTTGTACCTGATTATTATTATTATTTATATATATTAATATTTTACTTGAAATTATTTCGTAGTCTTCATAGTCTGGACTTTGAGCAATCCATTACCACGCGTTCTTCATAAAATGTATTGATCTTTTTATTTTTGTTTTTACTTTTAAATTATCTAGTTGAGTTTTTATTTGTGTTTTTAGGTGAAATATGAAGGGGTAGTTTATGCGGATTTGTTCGGTTTCAATAGTCGCTTCTTCAAGTATATGGTCAAGAGTTTCCATGTATCTTCCTATGTCAATTTCGTGCATAATTTTAAATGTTCCTGTTTGTAGTCTAGCTGTTCCTTTTTCTACTGTTATGAGTTATGCGTTTGAATAATTGAGTATTTGTACTTCCATTGTTGTTGTTCCATCCAAACTCCACCTCTGTTAAGTGCAATACATGCAATGGATGGAGTTATGTTGTTGTTGTTGTAACGGTTACCTAATCCCCGTTTGGGTGATAAATTCTAGATTCGTTGTCGTCGATGTCATCTAACGGAAGGCCCAGGAAACGAGCTGTTTCGACGGGGTCGGACCATAGGGAGAGGGGTGTTAGATGAGTGGGGTTTGTTGGGCATGCAAAGACGTGGTTAGTGTCATGCGGAAACTCATTGCATGCAGGACATGTGTTTGGTATGTCAGGGTCTATTCTGGATAGGTAGGAGTTTAACCTGCTACAGTATCCAGAACGAAGTTGCGCGAGGGTCACTCTAGATTCGCGAGGCAACTCGAGCTCTGTGTCTGCAATGGGTGGTGGTTTGACACGTATTACGCCATTCACTGAGAGGGAGTCGGTGAAGGTGTTAATGGCTCCACTGTGAATGGCGGTCAGTGCCTGTCTGAAGTTAGTTGCGTCCGAAGTCTGGTCGGCGTACTGTCTAATGTCGTCGACGTAGTCAAGGAAGGACCTCTTGATGTTTCTAGGAGGCGGCTCCACTACAAGCAGGCGACTGCAGGGGTGGTTTCTACGAAAACATCCCAGCAGAAACTGCTTGGAGAGGAGGTGGTTATGTTCCTTAACCGGAAGCATACGGGCCTCACTATGTAGGTGTTCGATTGGAGACATCAAGAGGCATCCCGTGATAGTCCGGAGTGCAGTGTTCTGACAAGTCTGAAGCTTCTTCTTCTGCGTGTCACTGCATCCAGGCGACCACATTGCGGCTGCATAATTAAGGACCGGCCGGCCGATTGCCTTGTATGTTGCCAACAACGTTTCTTTGTCATTTCCCCATGAGCTGCCGGCAAGCGACTTGAGGATTTTGTTGCGGCTCTGTACTTTGGCAGTTATCGCGGTCGTATGAGGAGTGAAAGAGCACAGACTGTCCAAAGTGACGCCTAAAATTTTAGGGTTATTTACTGTCGGAATTTTTGTGCCATCGACTGAAATGTTCAGGTCCAGTCTTACTCCTTCGTCCAATTTGTGAAGATGGTCGCTGTGGATTTGGTTGGGGAAAGTGTTAGGTTCCTTGCACGAAAGAAGCGAGAAAGATCGGAGAGGTAGCCGTTTACTTTTGAACACATGCCATCGATTCCATTGCCCGACGTCAATATCGTACAGTCATCAGCGTACGAGGTCATTGAAACTCCCGCTGGTGGCTGGGGAGTTTTGAAATATAGAAATTAAACAGAAGCGGGGAGAGGACACCGCCCTGCGGAACCCCCTGTTTAATTTTCCTGAGTTTGGACTTTTGACCTCGAAACAGTACGGATGAATACCGACCGCTCAGGTAGTTCATGATCCACCGCTTCAGCCCTGGAGCGAGCGTAGATTGTTCGATGTCCTAAAGTAGCGTTGTGTGGTTGACTGTGTCGAAGGCTTTCGACAAGTCTAACGCTACGAGGATCGTCCTCTCGCTTTGCTAGACTAAGGTGTTCTGCTAGGCTAAGGTGGTGAGTGAACGTCGGGAGTAACAAGACCTTAAGTGTCTTCACTACCGGGGAAAGGCGAGTTATCGGGCGATAAGACTCCCCTT